CAGGCTCCCAGCCCCTCTTGCCTCAGACCCAGGAGTCCAGACCCCCAGCTGCCTCTTCTCTCAGACCCAGGAGTCTGGGTCCTAGCCTCCTCCCTCAGATTCAGGAGTCTGGGCCCCAGTGTCCCTATGTCTAGTCTCTCGTTTCCTCCAAAGCCTCAAAGCAGCAGCCCATGCCCTCCTCTCACACTGGGGGTCTCTGGTAATCCCCTTCCTTGGTAGAGATCCCTCTCCTCCCTGCCCCATTCCCTTTAGGGTTAAAATCAAGGCTGAGTCACAGGAAGCTCCGGGGCCCTGAGTCACCCCTACTCCCCCCTCCGCCCCCTCCCTGGGCTGGAAGGAATTGGCTCTGGAGCCCTGTGTCCTCCCAAATGACTCTCACAGCCCAGGACTTCCAAGCGAAGGCAGGTGTCCTGACCACTGTCACCTCCTCGCTGCCCACCTTGGCATCTCCCTTGCCCAGCCCTCACTGCCCACCCTGGCATCTCCCTTGCCCGGCCCTCACTTCCCCACCCTGCCATCTCCCTTGCCTGGCCCTCGCTCATCTTCCTCTTTTAGTTGTGGCTTGTTTGGAAATAAATCTCTCACTGCACTAATTTCCATATTTCCATCTGCCTTCTGCCTCATCTTCATCTCAGGGTCTCTCTTTCATGTCTTTGATTAACTCTCTGTCCTTTTTCACTCTGTCTCTATCTCCTTTCTCTCCTCGTTCTCGTTCTCTGAGTGTGTCCCTCTCAAGATGCTCTGATTCAACCCGAGAACTGTCATCAGCATCACCAAATTGTACAAGTGGGAACTGTTGAATTGGGCCATGTTTTGCTGAGTATGTTCTCAATAAGAAAATAAAACAAACTTGGAAATGTTAGAAACGATCTCTTTTTGTCTGTCAATCTTGTGTCTGTTCTTCCTGAGAGCCTGTGCTGGGTAGGGCTGTGGCCGGAGACGTCTGCCTCATGGTCCTCACTCTCTCAGGTGGCCACACTCTGTCTCCTGCTCTTGGTGCCCGACTAGCTGTGGCTTGTGAGAAAGGAAGGAATGCAACTGGAAGGTCAAGAATGCCCCAACTGCACAGGTGAACAAGAAAAAGAAACTGAGGCAGTGACAAGCACAGAGAGGCAGAGAGAGAAGGAGAGAGAGAGAGACAGACAGACAGAGAGAAAGGGAAAGAGAGAAGACAGGCAGAGAGACATTTTTCTCCCAGAGGAAGGTGTGGAAGCAGAGAGAGAGAGAGAGAGAGAGAATGAATTGGAGAAACAGTCAGAGACAGAGACAGAAATAGCACAGGGACAGAGACAGAGAAAGGGCGAGAGATGCTGTTAAAGATGAGCGTAGTAAGAGACACTGGCAGAAAGAGTGACAGTGAAAGAGAATGAGATGGAGAAACACACAGGTGACAGGGAAAGGAGAGAATCACAGAAATACAGAGAGACAAACACACAGCGATGCAGAGACACTGGGAGGGAGAGACAGAGAGAGGGAGGCTGATGGAGAGACATAGAGGTAGATGCTTAAGAGACACAGTGAGACAAATGCACAGAGAAACAGAGATACTCTGAAAGATGCAGAGATACTTAAAGGGCCACAGGAGGACAAATGGATAGAGTGATACTGGGAGGCAGACACAGATGGACAAAGAGATGTGGAGACACTTGGACAGAAAAAGAGCGATAAGGCAAACTGAGGGGGGGGGGAACACAAACCACCCAAAAAACCAAGACAAGGGAGACAGAGATAAAGACAAACCCAGACGACCGCCCTCCTAGCGGGAGAGACTGAGAAAACGGACAGGCCCAGAGCCCTGAGGGAGGAGAGAGGGGCAGACAGAGGGTGGCGGCAACACGGGGTGCTCTGGCCTCCCCTCTCAGACACGTGTGTGGTGTCTGGGGGCTGGGGGGCATCTCCATCACTCTCCCTGCGTCTCACCCCTGGTGGAAATCTTACGTGTGGCTGGGCGGGGCCCCCTTGCGGGTTGTGTGTTTGTCACTGGGCGTGTCTGTGTGTGGTTTGCTGTCTGCGCGCGTTCTTGTGGGTTCTGCTGGAGCGCTGCCTTGTCTGGGGGCGAGCGTCTCGGTCCCTTGTGGCCGGCGGGTCCACGTCCTGGCGTGTGTTGGTGTGTGGTAGGCGTGTTGTGTGGGCAGAGGGGTTTGTGTCTGCCCCATGCTCTGGCCATTAGAGCCCACTCTGGTCCTGAGAGCAGTGTGGGGCGTTGTTACAAGGTGTCTGGTGTCTCGGGTTGTCGAGGAGAATTCTGAGGCACCACTGGTGCGTGAGGCCTGTGTGGCTGCTGCTGCCACACTCTCCACCTGCGTCCCCTCATCCCTCTGGGTTGCATTTGCTCTCTGTGTGCCCATGCCAGTGTGTGTTGTGTGCAGTGTGCCCGGCTTGTGTGGTGCTGTGTCCCACTCCTGATGTGACACTGCTCTCACATTCTACATGGGTGTTTCTCGGGTGTCACCACATCCCCCTGCATTGCATTTGCTGCGTGAGTGTATGTGTTGTTTTTTGTTGTGTTCACGGTGTGCCCAGCTTGTGTGGTGGTTGTGTGTACAACTCCTGACGTGACACTGCTGTCAGGGTGCACGTCCTGGGAGGCGGGTGCTCTCCCTTCCCTCTCCCTCGTAGAATGTGTCTGCATTTGTTGTGTTGTGGCTGTGCCCACCCCGCCCCATGGTGTGTGTGGTGTTGTTGGAGGACGTGATGCCGGCTGGACGGTGACTCACGGCTGTTGTGTTTGTGAAATAAGGTGTGTATGGAAGGCTGTGATGAGAAATGTCTTTGTGTTTTGTGCGTCTGTGTCTGTGTCACATGTGGTTGCATACTTGGGGGTCATGGTTTATATGTGTAGTGCCCTATTTATGGAGTTTTGTGTCACTGTGTTTGTGAGAATTTGTGTCACTGTGTTATGTTTGCATTCCTGTATTTGTGTAGTGTTTTTTCCCCTTCACCACTCCAGCAGCCAGGAAATCAAAAGACGAATTGCATTGGGAAAGTCTGCTCTCAGGGACCTCTCCAGAGTACTGAAGAACAACGACGTCAGTTTGGGGACTGAGGTGTGCCTGGTCCAGACCATGGTCTTCCCAATTGCTTGCTATGCATCAGAAAGCTGGACAACGACTAGAGATGATAGGAAGAGAATTGATGCCTTTGCACTGTGGTGCTGGAGAAGATTATCAAATATACCATGAAAACAAACAGGTTCATCCTGAAGAGGGTGAAGCCAGGCTGTTCTTTGGAGGCAAGGATTCTGAAGCTTCATCTGACATACTTTTGGCATGTTGCAAGGTGGAAACAGTTCTTGGAGAGGGATGTCATGCTTGGGAGGGTAGAGGGACAGCACAAGAGACGAAGACCCTCGATGAGATGGATTGACTCAGTGACTGGGGTAATTGGGGCGGGTGTGTTGGAGACCATAAGGTTAGCACAGGATAGAGTCCGTTTCAGGGCTACTGTACATAGGGTCACTATGAGTCGTAAGCAACTCAACAATACATATCAGAAACAATAGCAACAACCCCTTTTTGTGTAGTTTTGTGTCACCATGTGCAGTTTGTGTGATGGTGTGTGGTATGGTCTTGTGACACGGTGTTTGTGCTGTTTTGTGTCACCAGATGTATGTGTAGCTTTGTGCACTGTGTCGTCATCTGATTGTGTGTTACAGTGTTGTGTAGTTAAGTCACCTTGTTGTCTTGTTTGTTTTGTATTATCTTGTGTTTGTTTAAAGCTCCCTAGTAGCACAGTATAGAAGGCATCAAGCTGCTAATGCAAAGGTTGGCAGTTCAAATCCACCAGGTACTCCAGAGGAAAGATGGATGATCTCCTTCCATTGAGATTTACAGTCTTTGAAACTCAACAGAGGGCATGTTAGGGCTTGGAATGGACTGGGCAGCAGTGAGTCTTCCTGGGGTTTGTGCTTGTGGAATCCCAGGGTGTGTGTGTGTGTGTGTGTGTGTGTGTGTGTGTGACTATGTGCTGTGTAGGGTTGTACCACCACGTATCTCTGTGGTTTCGTGTCACTGCCCGTGTGCATCTTATCTGCATCTATTTGGTCTGTGTAGCCGCCGGGTTGGGAGACAGCATGTGCCGTGCTGTGTGGCTGTTGTCTGTGGCATTTGGGTGTGGCTTGTGGGTGACAGGCTGTGGGGCATGTATTCTTCTGTGGCCACATTTGGGCATCTGTGTCACCTGTGCCCCTGGGGCATCACTCTGGATGTGTCCTACGTGCAGAGACAAAATGGAGCTGGAAGTTCCACCATGGGTGTGTGCTGCTTGGGTTCCTGCGTCCTTGTCTGCTGTGGGTCTCTCAGGGTGTCTGTTCCTGTTGTTCTGTGGCTATAACTGTTGATCCCGTTGTGTTCCAGGCTGTCATGTGTCTAGGTGAATTAGAGTGAATTGTACGTGGTGTGTTTGTGTTTCACCTGCAGTGTGTTGTGTTTGTGTGAAGCACGGTTGTGCTTGGCTGTGGCTGCTGGTGTCAGAAAGCGCTGTGTGAGCACGTGCGCGTGTGTGCGCGTGTGTGCGGTACACATTCTAGGAGCCACAGAGCACAGCCGGTCTTGCTGAATGTTGGTGTGTGTCATCTCATGTGTGTGGTGTCTGGGTGTGGCTGTGGGTTTCAGAGTTTGTCGGGAGTTGTGAGTCACCCCGTGGAGACTGTGTTGTGTGGCCCATGCGTTGGGTTCTGTGTGTGAGGGTACATCCCCCTGTGCTGGGAGTCTTGTGGGGTCTGGGTGTGGCCCCAGTTAGGTGTGCAGAGTGAGCGCGCGTGCTCACACACACACACAAAGTAAGCAGACCCACTGTGAGCGGCAGAGCCCATTGTGGGTCCTTGTGTGTCCACGTGGATGGACGCCTCTTCCTCGTGGTGCCCCGACACACCCTTGGTCTGGGAGCCTCCCCTCTGCCCAGGGGCGTCCCTGGCCCCTCCCCTGCCCTGCCCCGCTGTCACCACCCCCTGAGGACACCGCTCTCCACCGGGCTTCGGCGCCACAGCCCCAGAGGGAGCTCAGCAGGCAGACGACCTGCGGGCCACAGTGGCTGCGCTCTGTGTGCTGCGAGGTGGGGGACCCTGGGGGGGGCACTGGCTGAGCCCCAAGACCCCAGGGGCCATGGGGGGGGAGCTGGTGCCGGGCCTGGGGGCCCTACGGCGGCGAAAGCGGCTCCTGGAGGAGGAGAAGTGGCTGGCGGGCTGGGCGCTGGTGCTGGCGGGAATTGGCATCGGTCTCATGGTGTTGCACGCCGAGATGCTGTGGTTCGGGGGCTGCCCGGTGAGTGGAGCGCGGGGCGCAACACCGAGAGGGGGCCGGGCTTCCGGGTGCGGAGGAGGGGGCCGAGGGCTGGACTCCGGGAGGGGAGGGGCTGGGATCGGACTGGGGTCTGAGAGCAGGAAGCTGGGGACCTGGACTCCTGGGTCTGAGAGAGAAGGGGCTTAGGAGCCTGGACTCCTGGGTCTGTAGAAGAGGAGGCTGGGGACCTGGACTCCTGGATCTAAGGGTGGAGGGGACTAGGGGCTTGGGTTCCTGGGTCTAAGGGAGGAGGGAGCTAGGGGCTTGGGTTCCTGGGTCTAAGGGAGGAGGGGACTGGGGGCCTGGACTCCAGGGTTCGAGAGAGGAGAGGCTGGACCCGCGAACTCCAGGTCTGGAACCAGAAGGCTCTGGGAATGAACTCCTGGACCCAGCCCCGCTGTGTGGAGGGGAAACAGGTCACAGTGTCTCTGGAGGTGCTGAAATGAGGTGCTTGAAGGCCCAGGACACCCCTGGAGGCTTGTGTCTGCCCAGAGAGGACCTGGGCAAGGAAGCCCAGATTTGGTTCCCGCAGGGTGGGAAGCAAACCTAACTTCTTCCAGTAGGCGAGGTGCCTGGTCCTTATCTCACCTCCACCCGGTTACCCACTGCTTGGGCAGCAAAGGGCAGAGCCAGAGAAGCGGGCTGGGGCGGTGGCGGGAAATGGCAAAGAAAGTGACCGCCCCCTCTCTAACATTGAGGCTCCAGTTTTACCTACAATCTATATGCTCTTGTTGTTTCGTGTGGCTCATAGCGACCCTACATACAACAACCTTGCTCTATCCTGTGTCACTAATTCTGGGGGAAATGGAGAGGTAGATTCACAATAGCCTGTTCTCCTGGGTCTCAGGAAAGGGCCTGGGGACCTGGACTTGTGGGTCTGAGGGAGGGGAGGGGGCTTAGGCTCATGGATCTAAGGGAGGAAGAGGAGGGGGCTGGGAGTCTGGTCTCATGGACCTCAGGGAAGAAGGGCTGGGGGCCTGGACAAATGAGCCTGAGTGAGGAGGGGCCTGGGCATGTGGACTAGTGGGTCTGAGGGAGGAGGTGGGAGCTGGAGGTCTGGACTCCTGGGTCTGAGGAAGGAGGAGGCTGGGAGTCTGGATTCCTAGGTCTGAGGGAAGAGGAGGGGCTGGGGACCAGGACTCTTGGGTCTGAGGGAAGAGGAGGGGGCTAGAGGATTAGACTCTGGGTCTCAAAGAAGAGGGGCTGGGGGCCTGGACTTGCGGGTTGAAGGAGGAGGAGGAGGGGGCTGGGGCCTTGGACTCATGGGTCTGAGGGAGGAAGAAGAGGAGGGGGTTGGAGGGCTGGAGCCCTGGGTCTGAGGGAGGTGGACGGGATGGAAGTCTGGACTTCTGGGTCTGAGGGAGGAGGGACCTGAGAGCATGGACTCATGGTTCTAAGGGAGGAAGGGGTCTGAGGGCTTGTGGTACTTTGTGTGAGAATGATAGAGGAAGAGGACAGATGAATTCAGGACCGGTCTTAGCAGGTTCCAGAGCATTCTAACCCTGAGGCCACTCTAGGGGCAAGTCAGAGGACAGAGATGGGAATCAGGGGTCCAGGGGAGAGCAGAATTGCTCTGCAGGAGAGGAGCTGCTAGAGAGGGGCCTAGGGTAAGAAATGGGAACTGGGCTGGAGAGGGGCTTGGTTTCAGGGTTAGTTGGAAGAGCCCTTGGGGGACTGAGGTTCAGGCTAGATTTGGGGGTGCCACAAGGAGGTCAGGGCAGGCCAGCTTCCTCTGACCAGGCCAGTCCAGGCAAGGGCAACGGGCTCTGGGGGGTGGGGCCACCGAAGTCCCTGCCAACAGGAAGCATGACCGGGGCCTGCCCGCCGCTCCCACGCTCAGTACCCGCCCTGCAGAGGAGGTGGGGGTATGGTGCCCTGGCAGATGGGAGGGGGCGTGAGTTCCTTCTGTCCCATCCACACCATCCCCTCATGCCCCCCCCCATTCTCCTTTCCCTCTGCTGGCTGCCAGGTGACTGCCTCCAACCCTTGAGCCACTGTTGCATCTCTGAGCCTCAGTTTTCCCATCTGTAAGCTGAAGATCAGGGCTGAAATGTGTGATCTTCAGGGTCTTCCTCAGCTGCCCTTTCTAGGGCTACCTTGGTCACATCACTGTCCCCTCCCACCTCCAACCTCGTGGACCCATTTTTTGGGGACCCAGATACCTGTTCATCAAAGGGAGAGGCTTGAGGAATGGCAAGTGCCAAGTTTGGGGGTACCGGGGAGGGCCCAGGGAGAGAGAGGTGGAGAGTGACCCAGATAGAGATGGTGAGGCAGAGGAGAAGGGGACAGACCCAAGGAACCACTAGTGAGACATAAACCCCAAATAGAGACAGAAGCACAAGCCACCACCTCCTTCTCCTCAAAATTCACAGGCATAAGTAGGGGGCAAAGTGCAGATGGCCCCAGGTTTTGGGAGCAGCAAAATGGAAAAGTTGAGAGGACCACAGAGCAGTGAGTGATGTGCATGAGGGGTGGTCTGCTCTGTGGGATGGTAATCAGGACAAGATCAAAGAAACAGAGGGGGAAACAGGGACCTAGAAAAGGATGCAGGGAGTGGGAGAGGGCTGGGGACAACAGCCCCATTGTTCAGGGTGGGGAGCAGGGGGGCAGGCCCCCTTGAGCAGGAAGCTGGCCTTCTTCCTCTGCTCAGAGGCGGGGCCCTGGCCTAGGCAGGGGAGCCCTGGCATCCGTCTCAGGAGAAACAGGTGTGGGGCTCAGTAGGGGAACTTAGGTGGCCCCCCTCTCCCTGACCACATCTTCCAGGCAGGGACAACCCCTTATTTCTTCCTAAAAGTCCAAGTCCCAATTTCTCCCTCCTCCTAGAATAATTCATGATTCTTCTAAGGTATTGTCACACAAAGAAGAAGAGGGAAAATTACTTCTTGGTGGTTTCTGGAGCCCTATGTTTCCTGCCAGATCGGCCCTGGGCTTAGAGCCAGGAGAGAGGGTCGGAGGAAGGGGAAGACACTGGGGCAGGACTGGAGGCCCTCTCTGAGCTGGGACTGGGTCTCAGCCCCCTGAATGAGAGCAAAGTGCCATTCATTCCTTTGGACACAAGGGGAAGGGGAGGGAGTATTCTCTACCTGCTAAATGTCTGTTTCTAGATACGCCAGGTCCTAGAGCCCCATTTGAATGAGAAAGGGATCCAGGCAGTTAAGAAAGAATGGCAGTTTCAAAGGTACCCCTCAAAGATAGTCTTAGGAATAGAGCTGGCATCTGAAACATGGTTGTCTGCTTGGAAAGGAAGCCGTCACTCTATGCAGGGACCAGATGGTGGTGTGGGGACTTCCCCTGGAATTGGGATTAACAGGAGGATCTGCTTTAGGTGCTGAAAGAAGTTAGGGAATTGGACACTGAGAAAGGATGGAGGTTTGAATTCAGCAGGGGCTCTGCGAGAGGAAGATGGTGATGGCAAGCTCTGTCCCCTCCCCACCCCCCACTTACAGCCACCCAGACACTTGCTGTAGGGTCATCTCTGAGGGGGATCTGACTGGATGGACCATGAGGTTTTTGTTTGTTTGTTCGTTTGTTTATTTTTATTGTATTATTTTTACGTGTACCGTCAAATCAGATCTGACTGGTACAGGAGGAGATTGCCCCCTCCTTCTCCAGCAGAGCATCTGGTGGATTTGAACCGTGTACCTCTGGTATTGCAGTGCAGCGTCTTGGGGCCATGAGTTCTGTGAGGAGGTTTTGAGGGACCTGAAGTCTTACTCCTTGTTCCCTTCCACCGCACAGTGGGCGCTCTACCTGTTCCTGGTTAAATGCATGATCAGCATCTCCACTTTCTTGCTCCTTTGCCTCATCATCGCCTTTCACGCCAAGGAGATCCAGGTAGGACAGACCCCCGGCCCTTCCTCACTCCCCCAGCCCTGACCAGCCCTGTCAGCTCACACTTTCCACCTTCCTCCTGGGCTGAGTAATGTGGCCCCTCCTCCCTGAGCTATGTCCACACCCTGGGCCTTTGGGATGGGACGAGCCATAGACAGACCCACAGAGAGAGTCACCTGGAACAGCCACAGCCCTTCCTGTGCCTGCAGCCTCCCCTTGCACATGGCCTGGCCCTTCTCCCACAATACATCAGCCAGGGCCCACCTCCCAGACCCCTATCTACACACACACACACACACACACACACACACACACACACACTGTCTCTCTCTCTCTCTCTCTCTCTCTCTCTCTCTCTCTCTCTCTCTCTCTCGAACCACCAGGTGGATTTGAACCGCCAGAAAGATACCACCTTTGGATTAGCAGTACTGTTCCCTGTGGGCTAGGGTCCAGAGCTCCCGCTCCTTCATTCCTGGTTCATAGGCAATCCCAGACTCAAGCCAGCTACAATCCCAGCAATGTGTGGGCAGGTATCTCCCCACACTCAATCCCACCTTTCTGCCTGTCCACCCCTAACACAAGAAGCCTTCTCAACCATAGCCCCCTCTTCCCAGTCTCCCTACACATTCAGCTCCCCAGTTACCCCTTCCAGCCCCCCACCCCATCCTCATGCCCTCAGGTTCTGTTACCCTACACTCCTTTCCCCCCATCTCCCCCTCCATATGCCTACGGGTAAAGCCCACTGCAGTCCTTATCACATAAGAGACACTCAGTCAAAAGTACACATTATCACTATTAATTACATTATCATTAACAGCGGCTACGAGCAAACAGATGCCTTAACATCTCTGTCTCAGCTTACTCCTCTGTAAAATGGGGGTAAGAATCATATAATCCCAAAATGTAGTGACTGGCATTCGCTGCGTCGCTCTCTGAAAAGGGGCAGAGCAACTAGCCTGATAACTAAATGTTAGCTATAGTGGCTGTTGTACTTAGAGCAGTACAGTTAGTGCGCATGATGCAAAAGGTGGGTGCCAGAGGGAGCTTCTGAGACACGGTATGTGAGCTCTTCTGAGGCAGGGGGTCCTGGCTCCGATTTTCAAGCTGTATCTGAGGATACACGTCGAACAAAGCTGGGCTTAGTCAATATCCATAGGCTGACAGTGGAGTGGAACCAGGGGGGCAGGTAACAAGGCAGATATCTTCCCTGGGCCTGCTGCGCCCCAATCCCACATCCCTGGTTTATCTTCCCCTTCAAGTCGGGTCGGGTCTGGCCAGGCTGGCGCGCCCCTCCTTATCTTGCGGTGCAGGGGGGCGGGCCGTCCTCAGACTCCTCGCCTGAACACCGCTCCCTGTCCGACCCCTCCCCGCAGCTGTTCATGACGGACAACGCGCTCCGGGACTGGCGCGTGGCGCTGACCCGGCGGCAGGCGGCGCAGATCGTGCTGGAGCTGGTGGTGTGCGGGCTGCACCCGGCGCCGGTGCGGGGCCCGCCGTGCGCGCAGAGCGTGGGCGCGCTGCCCGGGGCCCAGCAGCCCTGGCCCGGCTTCCTGGGCCAGGAGGAGGCGCTGCTGTCGCTGGCCATGCTGCTGCGCCTCTACCTCGTGCCCCGCGCCGTGCTGCTGCGCAGCGGCGTTCTGCTCAATGCGTCCTACCGCAGCATCGGCGCGCTCAACCAGGTCCGCTTCCGCCACTGGTTCGTGGCCAAGCTGTACATGAACACGCACCCGGGCCGCCTGCTCCTCGGTCTCACGCTTGGCCTCTGGCTCACCACCGCCTGGGTGCTGTCAGTGGCGGAGAGGTGAGAATGCGGGGGGGGGGGACCTGAAGTTGCAGGCAGCCAAACACGGTCGCGCTGTACTGAGATGCAGGTGGGAGTCCGGCGAGGGAGAAAACTCACATTTTCCACTCTCCTCCTCCTGGCTGAGGTCCGTCCACACCCTGATCCATCAGGAGTGGAACCAAGGGGCCAGCCCCAGCCCTTCCTCCACCTGCCACGTCCTGTCCGCTGACACACACAGAGACCCTAGGAAGCCCTTCCCTTCCGCTCTTGGGCCTCCTTTGGGTCAGGTCTTCAGGCATCTGTTCAGCCTCCAAACCAAGCCGCTGGCGCCTGACCAAGGGTAGCCTGCGCCCGGAAGGAAAGGGCACCTCTACTGAATCAGCACAGAGACAACAGGGAGTGTTAGATGGTACCCAGGGTTGGGAGTGCTCTGGAAAAGAGTAAGATCCATGGGTGGGATGAAGAGTTTGTATTTGTCAGTCAACAGTTAAAATCTAACCAGCAGCACCGCAGAGTAAAGACCTGGCAATCTGCTTCTATAAAGATTTCAGGACAATGAAATGGAACCTTATGAAGCATTTCCAATCCGTATTTCTGGAGCTACCCTGAGTCAAACCTGGCTCCACAGAGTGGGTTTGGCTTTGGAATTTTGGCAGGGAAAGAATTCCCTGTAGAGATCGGGACCAGAGTCCAGGCTGCTGGCAAGATATTTCTGGGGCTGGATCTCTCAGGAGTTAGTTAGATTTTCTTTCTCAAAGAAAGACATCTGTTTGTCTTAGCCTGTGGCTCTGGGACTGCCAGCATCATTTGGACACTTGATGCAAATACAAATTCTTAAGCCACACTCCAAATCTACCAAAGCACTGGATTGTGGGGCCCAGCAACCTCTTACCCAGGCTTCCAGGTGAGCCCTGGTGGCTTCGTGGTAGGTGTTACGCTGTCAACCCAAAGGCACGTGGTTCGAATGGTCAGCTATGAGTAAGTTTTGACTGGAAGGCACATATCCACCACCACCAGGTGATTCTGACAGCTGCCCCTGTTGGAGTCTTTCTAGTTTTCATGCATTTGGCCAACAAGGAGTGTCACTGGTTTCAGACCCTGCCTTCACTTGCCTGTGCCCACCCTCTCTGAGCCTGTTTCCACAGCTACAAAATGGGTGCCAAAGTCCATCATCTTTCATGTCTCCCTGGCAGTTTGAAGCTTTTTGTGATTTTTAGTGCATTCACTTTCCAGGATCTCAGTTTCCCCGATTGAGAAGTTGGTCAGGTTAATGGTCGGGTTCAGGATCAATGAAAGCTCCCCTCCACCACCCCAAAGTTTCTCATCTGAAAAATGGCACAGAGCGTCCCACTTGAATGCAATTGGGAACAGGAGGAGGACTTGTTGCCAGTGCCAATTCAGGCTCTGCCTCCGGAGCACTAGCTCAGCTGGTCTGAGGGGGCGCCAAGGGGTCAATGAGTGGTACGAAGTGCACAGTGAAAAGTGGGCAGTTCAGATCCATCCCTGTCTATCTTCATCCATAAAGATTACAGTGACCAAAACCCTATGATCGGTTCTTTGTAGCACCTGGGTTTGGCATGAGTCAGGATCAAGGAAGCTGGAGTGGGATTGGTTTGCTTTTTGGTTTCTGTGAAATGATGCAGGGAGTTCTGGTAGTGCTGGCCGTAGAGGGTTGTGCTGCTAACCCAAAGACACTGAGTTCGACTCCACCAGCTGCTCCATGGGAGACAAGTGGGCTCTCTCCTCCAGTGTGATTTACAGCCTTTGAAAACCCACCAGAGGGGCAGCTATGTGTTGGAATTGACTCAACTGCAAACATCATCATCATTATGAAGTGAGAGAGAGGAGTCCGATTAAGCCTTTGTAGAATCCCACCTTTTTAGTTCTCAGAGAGCCACCTCTCGTTCGTGCAATATCTTTGTCAAATTAGAAAAAGGCACCCCTTCCTCTGGATGCATGCAGTCCCTGCAGGCAGGTGGATGTCATGCTGGGTTTTGTCTGCACTCACCCTTCTGAATGTGGGAGCTCTTGACTGCCTTTGGAAGTGTCCAGACTCAGGTTCAAATGCCACAGCCCAGAGAGGTTGGACACTGTGCCCAGGTTGCACAGCAGAGGGAAGAAGATAAAAGCTCAGAACTTATTTTAGGTCTGGGTGCTTTTGAGGACTGTACTGGGGAGAATAATAAGCATGTGGAACTCTCCCCAAGGTGAGGTTTGAGCACTAATACACCTCTCCCATAGGCAGGCCGTTAATGCCACTGGTCACCTTCTGGACACGCTGTGGCTGATCCCCATCACATTTCTGACCATTGGGTACGGGGACGTTGTGCCGGCCACCATGTGGGGCAAGATCGTCTGCCTCTGCACTGGGGTCATGGTGAGTCAGCCCTCCATGGGAACCCTATACCCATCCCACACTGCGCAGCCCCTAGGTTCCCAGGGACATCTTCCAGACATTCAGGTGTCACATTCCCAACCCACTGCCTTTCTAGGACCCCAATATCAGCTCCATCTCCCTTTCAGACTTGGGAATCCAGCACTCATAACCGTGTTCTCCAGATCCTAGCATCTCAGCCCTTACCTCTGCCTGCAGGCTACTTACTCACCAGCACCATTGCCTTCTGGGATCAAGGAATTGAACCTTCAGCCTTATGGAGGCTCAGGGATCTTTGATAACGTCTAGGATTCAGGCAGCAGAGTCTCAACGCCCAACAACTCCAACCAACAATAAACCAGTTGTTGGATCAGTTCTGACAAGTGTATGTGAGAGTAGAATGGTGTTCCATAGCATTCTCAAAAGCTGCTTCCCTGACATCACATCACTGGGCCTTTCTCCTAAGGCACCTCTGGGTGGACTTGAATGACCAAACTCTCTGTTAGCAGCTGAGCGAATTAACTGCTTGTACCCTCCCCTCCCCGACCCAGGACATCAAACCTGTCCAGGATCTCAGAATAAAAATCCAGTCCAGTCTCTATAAGGCCATAGAATTTAGTCATCAAGAACAAGCCTGAGAGGCTAGACCACCTGAGTTCAAACCTGGCTTCTGTCACTTCCTAGCTGGAAGACTTCTGTCAAGGCACATAACCTTTCTGTGCCTCAGTTTCCTCATCTGTAAAATGGGGGTGACAATATTGGTGTCTTCCTCATGGGACTGCTGAAATCAGATGATGTAAAACATAGAAAAGCCTTCCAACAGTGCCTGGCGCACAGGAATGCTCAGTAAGTGAGAAGAGAAGAGAGCCTTTGGGTCTAGGAAAGAGGGGCAGAAACAGCCTACACGGCACTCCCAAAGGGTTAAGGATCCTCAGGGCTGCCCTGAGCGGTTCTCCTTCATTGGCATAAGGAGCCTGAGTGAGAGAGATTTGCATCTAAAGTTCATTGCCAGCTCCTGACGGAAAGCTTCCATGCCTCAGTGGAATAGAACAGCTGCCTTGTATTGAGCACATACTCTGTGCCAGCCTCTAACTACTTTCTGGAAGTTGACAACTCTCAGGGCATCCACTGAATGACACTCTGAGGGCATGCCCATTATACACACCAGACACTGAGTGACTAAACCACTTGTTCAGAGCTAAGAAAGGCAGGGTGGACCCAAGGGCCAGTGTCTCAGACTGTTAATGCCTTCTGAGTGGTCAAGAGCAGGACACCTGGCTCTGGAGGAGGGGCTTCCGAGGCCCAGTCATTCTAAGTCGAGGAGAAATGAACAGAGAGAGTAGTAGAGTTCTTGAGATTTGATGGGGGGCCTTAAAGGATTGAAGAGGTCCTTGGGTGGTGCAAATAGTTTGCCCTTGCCTGCTAATCAAAAGTCCAGTGGTTCAGGTCCACCTAGCAGTGCTGCAGAAGAAAGCCCTGGCAATCTGCTCCTGTAATTATTGCCACCAAGGAAACCCTCTAGCGCAGAGCTCTAAAAGCCAAACCCATTGCTGCTGATAGAGGCTGGAGGAGAACTGCTGGAGACTTCCCAAAATGGAAAATCTTTCCAGAAGCACACAACTACATCTTTCTCCCACTGAGAGGGTGCTAGCCTTTCAGTTAGCAGCCAAGTACTTTAACCACAGTGCCACCTGGGAAATGCAGCTCTATTCTGTAGCAAATATGTTGGGTCAACCAGACAGCACTGGGTTACATTCTGGGTTTTTGTTGTTGTCTTTAAGGACTAAAGTCTTGGGAGCAGGAAGGGAGGCAGGTGGGTTTTCAGATCAAGGTGCTCAGGCAGGTGAGGTAGAATGTAGGTCTGGTATAGAGGGGGTGAGGAGGTGAGAGAGCAGGAGGCCTAGACCTTGGAAGGCCTGGAACCACAGGTAAAGAAGTTTGGGGCAGCGGGAGCCTTGGTTAGGGTGAGCATGGAGGCAGTGGGAGGCTGGAGATGGTCTAGGAGGGAGAGCACAGGGTCAGAGTCCATGACGGCAGGGGGAGGATGAGGACATGATGGTGGCAGACCTAACAACCCACTGGACATGAGAGAAGGAGGTCTCTCAGGAGCCTGGGGCCTTCCTACCTCCTCCACTCCCACCTCTAACAAAAGTGGAATTACCTTGGTGTGAACACATACATGCACCAGATCTGAATTTGGACAGATATGGTCCAGTCCTTTCATTTTTCAGCTGTGGGATCTTAGTGCCCTCTTTGAGCCTCAGTACATTTCTAAACCAGCTGGGGCTGATCGCACCCCTGGGGAGGATTCAGGGTGAGGGTGTGCTTACAGCTGCTCCATGGTGGCCACTGTCTCCCAGGGGGTCTGCTGCACAGCCCTGCTGGTGGCTGTGGTGGCCCGAAAGCTGGAGTTCAACAAAGCGGAGAAGCATGTACACAACTTCATGATGGACATCCAGTACTCCAAAGAGGTGAGGTCGTGCTGCACCCCAAGTACACCCCATCCGTCCATCACGACCCAGGAGTCCAGGCCCTCGGTCTCTCCTCCCTCGGACCCAGGAGTCCAGATCCCCCCAGCCCCTCCTCCCTCTGACCCAAGAATCTAGGCCCCCTGGGCCCTCCTCCCTGTCAGTGTAGGCCCCGCCCCCGCCCTCCTTCCCAGGTTTGCATCCACTGACACTGTGCCTTGTGCCTGCAGATGAGGGAGTCAGCCGCCCGAGTGCTGCAGGAGGCCTGGATGTTCTACAAACACGCGCGCAGGAAGGACTCCGGAGGTACCCGACGGCATCAGCGCAAGCTGCTGGCTGCCATCCACACGTGAGTGCCCCGTGTGTGTGTGTGTGTGTGTGTGTGTGTGTGTGTGTGTGTGTGTGTGAGTGCGCGCGCATCCACATACAGGCACGTCCAGAGCTGAATACTCTCAGTGGCTCTGAGAGACTGCTTTCTTAGTTGTATTAGATCTGTTGTTATATAACAAATCACTTCCAAAATCTACAACTCAAAAACCAGCACATTTTTATGATCTCAGAGTTTCAGAGGGTCAGGGATTCACCAACGAACAGTTTAACCGGATGATTTTGGCTTAGCTGCTCTCATGCGGTTGCAGCCCTGATCTGTGTCTCTGACTGCGTGTGTGTGTGGGCGGGAAGAACGGCTTGGTGTCCATGCTGCCATGACGGACCCAGGGGTGCAGCCCCCGCCTCTTCTTGCCCCTCAGCTCTCCGGCAACCTTTCCTCTTTACACTATGTCCATGTCGAGGGGTCTCTGTCCCTTCTACCTCACCTGAGCGTGGACCACATCGGAGGCCAAGCCTTTGTTCTCTTCCTATAGGTTTCGCCAAGTGCGGCTGAAGCACCGGAAACTGCAGGAGCAGGTGAACTCCATGGTGGACATTTCCAAGGTATCCAAGTTCTGTGGAAGGTGCTGGGAGACAGGTGGGCTGGGGCAGCCAAGATAGGGAGTCCGGGCAGGGCCCTGGCACACACAGAAACATGTGCAGATACACGATAGCTGGGATGCCAAGTTTCTTAAACTCACTGAAGGTCCCAGAAACCACACCAGATTCCTTGGAGTAGATTCCACCTCACAGCCAAATGTGTGCGGGCCAGAACCGTGCTCCACAGGTTCTCAACAGCTCACTTTTCTGCAGTCTGTCGGCAGGGCTTTCTTCTAAGGCATTGTGGGTAGGTTTGAACCACTAATCTTTTGGTTAGCTATTTGTGACAGCCAGGGACCATTTAAGAGGGATCTCTTAAATGAAAAAAAAAAAAAATTACACACACACACAAAGTATTGTTTGCTCTTATTTTTATTGTCAATTTACTTATTCAAACCTAAACCAAGCCCGTTGCTAGGGGGTCCACTTAGACTCTTATCAGCCCCCCCAGGGGTTTGAGGCTATAATCTTTGTGGGAGCTGACAGACATATTATTAGTCATATTATATATAAAATAACATACATTAGACAGCCATATGTAAGACAGGCCACCTCGTATGGAGAAGTTAGTGGCCACTGCCCCACCAGGGCTCCTTACATTACTCACATGTTGTTGCTGTTGTTATGTGCTGCTGGGTCAGAGCAGAGTTAGTGGACTTTCAGAGGCTGCATGGGAGGAGACTGCTTGTCTTTCTCTTGAGGAACTACTGGTGGATTTGAACCGTCTTATTTTGGGTTAGCAGCATGGCTTCTTACTGGCTAGGCTACCAGAGGTCCCATACTTACATGTGGACGGATATAAAACTCCTTCCAGCTACAGCAGTTATATAACAATAAAACTAAAGTAAATTTACAAACCAAGTTCAAAGATAAATGGGAAAATCAATAAAATTCTAATTAACTACCTTGATGTGAACACAGCTAACATTGTTTTGATACAATTCAAATCTCTGCTGTTGCCTTAGAGGGGGTTGCCCAAGGCCACAGGCGTTTCCACAGGTGCCTCTGTGCAGGGCTAGCTGGTCTGTCACCTCAGCCACCTCTTCCTCCTTCTGGGACCCTTTGGTCCTGCCAGTAATAGGGGACAGTGACGTCATGTCCCCTTGGCGTGTCTCACAGCCCCACTGACTTATGTGGTGGCCTTTTTTTTTTTTCTCATCTACTTGCAACCGTTCAGAGGAGGTGGTGGCCCAGATTTGCTAGACAGCAAGAGGTAATTCTTAAAGATTTTCAAGCCCCAACACAGGATTCAAGAATTTCCACCGAGGGCAAAACAAAACATCATTTCCATTAAAAAGTTCACAAACCCCAAGGATAGACCTGTGAAGGTTGTAAAAAGGGCTATGTGGATTTTCAAGTCTGTTTTGCATCAGTTCCACAAACATTTAATGAATACCTACTACAATATGGATTGAGGCTCAATGTCAAGAAGACAAAGATTCTCACCACTGGGCCAATTGGCAGCATCAGGATGGATGGTGAGGAGATTGAGATTGTTCACAGCTTGAGTTTGCTTGGCTCCAGTCAACACTCTTGGCACCAGCAGCCAGGAAATTAAAAGGCATATTGCCATGGGAAAGTCTGCTGTTAGGGACCTCTCCAAAGTGCTGAAGAGCAATAGTGTCTCTCTGGAGACTAAGATGCTCCTGATACAGGCCATGGTCTTTGCAATCACTTGTTATGCATCAGAGAGTTGGACAATGACCAAGGAGGATAGAAGGAGAATTGATGCCTTTGAGCTGTGGTGCTGGAGAATAGTATTGAGAATACCATGGACTGCTAGGAAAACAGATTTGACCTGGAAAGGGTTAAACTGGGTGGCTCCTTGGAGGCAAGGATTCTGAGGCTCCGTCTAACATACTTTGGACATGTTGTGAGGAGAGACCGGTCCTTGGAGAAGGACATCATGCTTGGGAGGGTGGAGGGGAAGGCCCTCTATGAGGTGGATTGATTCAGTGACTGGGATAATCGGGATGGGTTTGTCAGAGACAGTGCGATTGGCACAGGACAGAGCAGAGTTTAGGGCTGTTGTACATAGGGTCGCTATGAGTCGCAGGCGACTCGACGGCACATAACAACAACAACAACAACTATGTAGGAGGCCTGATTAGAAGCCCAGATAATGCCCCTCTCTGCTGTTAGAGGCTGCCTTGCTTAGCAGACACAAACGAGGCTTCCAGACTAAGATGGAGTAGGAAGAAAGTTCTGCTGTTTGACTTCTGAAAATGGGTCCGTGAACCCCATCTGGCTCACAAAGATCTGGTCTGTGGATCATGAGGACGGTGCAGGACTGGGCAGTGTTTTGCTCCACTGTGTACAGGGCTGCCATGAACAGAAGGCCAACTCGCCTGACACTCTTAACGCTGCTCCAGGGGTGGGTTTAGTGCTGCCTTGAGCGTGCCATGTAATTGCTCTGGGCCTCACTTTCTTCCTCTGTAGAGTGGGAACAGAATTCCTAACTCCCCAGGGCTACTGGGGGCATGAGAAACCATGCAGGGACCCCTGGTGGCACAGTGGGTGAGCACTGTCCCAGCTCCTCCACGTGAGAGTGATGTGACAGTGTCTGTAAAGCCCATGGTGGTTCTACTCCAACCTCACACTAGGCTCTCTCAGAGCCATTGGGTTGGAACCGCCTATCGTTGACCCTCCAGTGGTTTCTCAGGAGGCTGTAAATTACATGGGAAGAGACCACCCATCTTTCTCCTGTGCAGCTTCTGGTGGACTTAGAAGAGAAAGAGGTAAAGCAGACACATAGTAAGTGTTCAGTGGTAATGTCAGCATTAGGATAATTCTCCAAAGCCTGGGTTACTCTTGTAACTTGCTGTTAATTCCAACCCACAAATAAATCTCTCCTAAGAAAGGTAGCCAAGGGAGCTCTGGTGGCCTAGTGGCAAGAAGCTGCACTGCAATCCCAGAGGAACACGGTTCAAATCCACCAGATGCTCTGCTGGAGAAGGAGGGACAATCTCCTCCTGTACCAGTCAGTAAGAAGCGAGGATGGTGAGACTTTATCTCTGATACTATGGGTAGGTTGTTAGAAGGGACCAGTCCCAGAGGGCAGCACGCTTGGAGGAGCAGGTCAGTGACAAAAGAGATGGACTGACAGTGACCGTGATGGTGGGCTTGAGCTCAGGGGAGATTGTGAGGACGGGGCAGGGTTTCACGGAGTTGTACACAGGGACCGCTGAGTTGGAGCTAACTCAACAGCACCTAACAATGACAAAACCCACTGGAGGGTGAGCTATGAGCCGATTCTGACTTAACGACACACAACAACAACAATGGGTTTTCTAAGTTCAGAAGCAGGGTCGCGAGGCTTGTCTTCCAAGCACATCTCTGCGTGCTTTCCAGACAGCAGTGCAGATGCTGGTCCCTGAGCCCCGCTGACCCTTGCCCCTCTTTGCCCTCACAGATGCACATGATCCTGTGTGACCTGCAGGTCGGGTTGAGCACCTCGCACCGGGCCCTGGAGAAGCGCATCGAGGCGCTGGCTGGAAAGCTGGACACTCTGACTGAACTGCTCAGCGCTGCCCTGGGGCCACGGCAGCTTCCAGAATCCAGCCAGGAGGCCACGTAGCTGGTGAGGGGGTTGGGGCTCTGGCTGGAAGTCACCCTGGAGGAAGTGCCAGTGGCCAGCACCCTGTGTGGCTAAGATGTGGGCAGGGCCCCAAAGCAGTCACCCTTACTCTTCTGCTCCGGCTGTCTGGAGGAAGGAAGATGATCTCCATTCTGCCAGGCACTGACCCTCAACGTCCTTGTCCTTTCTTTGCTTGGCTTCTCTCTCTGCCTGCCCCTGAGTTCTGTCCATCTGATGCTTTTGTCCAAATGCCACCTGCAGCCTGGTCTCTTGGTGGCTGGGAACGCAGACGCTCTTCCTTCTACCTCTACCCTCTGGTCTTTTTGCCCTTTCGGCCTTGATGTTCCCCTTGCAAGTTTCTGCCCTGCCTGTCCCCTTACCTCTCTCTGTGTCTCCCCAGCACCTGTGGAGGAAGAACCAGGCTACTTGTCGAGGAGATGAGGTCAAGGCCATCCACCCTGCTACTCTGAACTCAGCCTCTCCCATGGATAAAGCACTTCAAGTTGGAGGACTGAAGGGGCCCACCTTGGGTGGGCTGACTCCCTGGAAGCTGCTGGAGTAGATGCTGGCTGAAGGATGGAGGCGTTAGCTCTGCCCTGCAGCCCCAAATGGGAAAATGGTCACCCTTCACCAACACACACCCCCTCATCTGAAAGACTGATTCTCTCTATGCTGCTAGAGATATAGGAGAAAGAAGTCAGAAGTGAGGGTGCCTGAGGTTGAGACTCCAGGACTGGGGACCTGGACTCCTTGGTGGCCTCAGAGCCTCTCCTGTGGGCAGAGTGCCAGGAAGCAGGCTTGGGCCAAGGCAGGAAGTGGGGTCCCTATCAGGAGAGCAAAGCAGATAGCGTTTTTCCAGATACAGAGAGGAGTTGAAAGGGTGGGGATGGGGCTGGCCCACCAGTCTCTGCTCATGTACTTTGTAATAAACAGAAGAAAAATCCGAGCATGCTGCTATTTCTTTCTAAACACACATGCAGAGCCCAACCCTATGGAAAAACCCTGCTCTGTCTACGCCACACCTTCCCCACCAATGACTGGCTAAGGGGTCTTTAACCCCCATGCTCAGCAGCTAACAAGAGCTTCAAACTCAAAGTCCAGACCCTGGCTGTGTGACCCTGGGCAAGTGGCGTCACCTCTCTGGACATTCTAGTCAGCTGTAAAATAGGTCTCCTGGCCTTGGAACTATGGTGTAGATAAAAATGACAGAGTTGAGCAGATAAAAATAAGTGACAGAGTTGAACATTTGGTAAGAGCCAAATGCATGTGAGGTAATTTATCACTTTATTCTTGTCACTGGTTTCACCCTCAATGTGTAGTCATCCCTTTCCCCTTTGAGGAGCCCCGGTGGTGCAGGAGTTAATCATCTGCACTGCTACTCTAAGGTCAGCAGTTTGAACCCACCTATGGGAATCTTAGGACAAAGATGTGGCAGTTGGCTTCCCTGAAGATCACAGCTTGCCCTTTGTCCCAAGGGGTCCCTGAGTCCCATCAGCTTGAAGGCCATGGGTTTGACAGTTTTCCCTCTGCTTTTACCTCTAGCAGAACTCAGATGACAACTCGCCATCAAGAGACAGGAGATCTCAGTCGTCCCCACACTGGTTTCACAATCATCCCCGGAGGGTCTGCTCGGAGTCACAGAGGGAGAAGGGAAGGTGGCTGGGGCTTATGGAGACCATGTGTGCCAGCTCTGCTCCCTGCTTTGGTCAATCACCACGACCCCCCCCCCCATCCTTACTGTACAGATAGACTCACAAGCTCCAAGAGGAGCTGGGGAGGGGGCGTGCCAGGAAGACACAGGCTGGGGATTCACACAAAGCCCCACTCCCCACCTTGCCTGAGGTGAGTCAGAGGTGGGATGGCTTTTAGACCTTGAACTCAGGACTGATGTCCTACAGTAGTGGCTTCTTGCAGCGTGAGGGGCTGATTCATCCTTTGCCAGGGGAAACCCAATTTTTGTGTCATCCTCCTCTGCTGAGCTATCTTTGGATTTCCCTAAAAAGACAGTTACAGTCAGCCCTGACCCTCAGTCCTGGAAGCCAGAGTGGGGGCCTCTACCGCCCACAGCCACAGGACGCTGTTCCTGCCCTCCAGCGGACACCAGCTCACTTTGAGAGGGGGCTTTGAGACAGGAATGAAAACTCAAACTCATTGCCATCAAGTGGGAGTCAACTCAGCTGGTGCTACTGGGTTTCTGAGGCGTAAGCTGCACAGGAGGAGACTGCCCAGCCTTCTCCCAAGGAGCTGCTGGTGGAACATTCGAGCTGGAGAGGCATGGTCTTCATGCAATCCAACTCTCTATGGACAGGAATAAGACCTCACAAAACAGCTCCAATGTTTGCCCCTGGTGGGAGCTGTCCTAGGTAGAACTGTATCAGCTTGGCTCGGCCATGATTCTCAGTGGTTTGGCAGTCATGTGACAAGGGGGTCTGAAGATATACAATGATATAATCACATGAAAGGATACAACCATTGCCCGTGAGGGACTCTGATGTCAGTATCCTCCATGTGTGAAGTGTTGCAAATCATGACCTCTCTTTGTATGAATGAGGCAAGATTAGGTCATGATCACGAAGGCTCATGCTTTGGGCATGCTGTTAGGACGGATCCATCCTTGGAGCAGAACATCATGCTTGTTAAGGTCAGCAAAATAAGAAGACCTTCAAGGAGATGGACCGACATGTGGCTGCACTAATGGGCCCAAGTGGAGCAGGGACTGTGAAGATGACACAGGCTGAGGAGTGTTTTGTTGTGTTTTTACCTAACAACAATGGCGGTGAAAATCAAGTTATGTTTATTATACTGATGAGGAAGGATTAGAGTGGGAGGCAATACACTGACTCAGGTGACAGTGCTGACTCAATGGAAGGGAAGCTTCCCTGGGGTGTGGCCTGCATCCCTTTCTATCTTTCAAGAGATAAAAGGAGAGAGAGAGGGAGGGGAGAAAAAGAGAGACAGACTGTAGAACCATAGAGAAAGAAGAGTCATGGCTGAAGCATATTCTTTGGATCTGGGGGTCCTTGTGATGAGAACCTCCTAGAATTGGGAAAACTGATGCCACAACACATGGTGATGGCAGGACTTTGCCCTGAAAGTGACAGAAAGCATTCCCCTACAGATGCTGTTAGGTGCTGTCAAGTCTACTGGCTCACAGTGACCCTAACAACACACTAGAAGCTTGTGTTGTGGTGGGCCATCTTCATGATCCCCAGCATGCTTCAGACTACTGTCACAATTACACAGACAGATAGAAGAACAAACAAGTCTGTCTTGGAGGAAGTTCAACAGGGATGCTCCATAGAGGCGGCGACGGCGAAACTGCGTCACACATATTTGGGCATATTGTCCGGAGGGGCCAGGCCTTGGACAAAGACAGTGCTGGGAAAGGGGGAGGGTTAGAGAAAAACCCCTTACAGCAAGGGCCCTGAATCGGGACTGCATTATGGTCTCCCAAAACATGAATATATAATGAAGAAACGTGAAAGTTTTTAAGTGATTGACAAACCAAGCAGTTCCAAGAGAGTGTGGATGGTACACCCTTAATTCCATCACAGCTCTCGGATCTGATTTAAGGGAAGTTTCCCTGGGGTGTAAGGAGAGAGGCTGTGTTAGGGGACCTCGGTACCATCAAGGAAGAACTTCCAGGAGAGGGTTCATCTGCCTGAAGCCAGGCCCTGGCCCGGGGAAGTTCCTTGACAGTGAGGAAGGTCATCACAAGGAGATCTCTAAGGAACGCTGGGCACACAGATGCTGAAGGATACATGGACTTTCCTCAAGAACTGACAGAGAGGGCAACCCTCCCCATCAGCACTGGCTCCCTGAATTTGAACTTCTCATTTTCTAGCAGGAGCTCTGCTGGCCTAGTGGGAAAGGTGTCGCTTCACCAATTTACAGGCAGGGGGTTTGAGTTTACCAGCTGCTCCATACGAGGAAGACGGGCCATCTCTTCCCACGTGGTTTACAGCTCCTGAAAACCCGCTGTAGGATTAGCTATGAGTCAGTTTCAACTTGACAGAACATAACAATAGCAGCTTCCTAGAGCACAAGACAATACAGTTCTGTTTGTTAAACCCATTCACCATGGGATCTGCTATTACAGCACTCGATAACTAGGAAACCTCTTAAACTTTAAGAGAATACATTTGTTTGTTAAAGGCATCCACTTGTGGTACTACCATCACAGCGGCACTAGAAAACGAAATGATAAAACAAGAGAGCTGTGGTGGCCTAGTGGGCAAGGAGTTGTGCTACCAACCCAAAGGCAGCTGGTTTAAATCCACCGCTGCTCTCTGGGGTAGAACCTCCTTCTGTGAAATGTCCAGCCTCTGAAAACTCCCTGGAGCATCAGCTCTGAGGCTAACAGCAATGAGCTAGGGAATTAAGACAGAATTCTTGCTAATTGTGTTGCCGCATTTCCCACCATGTTTAAGTCCTTGGAAACTCTGACCTTCTTCCTCCTTCTGCTGGTTAAGTTCCTTCCTATTCTTTCTTTAGGCTTAGATGTCCCTCCCTCCTCCAGGATGCCCTTTCTGATGTCCTCAGTCCTCCCCCGGGCTTTCTCTGCCCCAGGAACCTGTCCTTATGACAATAAAACCAAGCCAAGCACCTCTGGTATAAACAATAGCACAGTATCACCCACACTCCGAGGCCCAAAAGGCCCTTTTCCTCTCATTTAACAGATGAGGAAACTGAGGCACAGAGTGATTAAGAAACCTGTCGAAAGCTGCACTTCAGACCAGGGGAGGTGGGACTTGACTTGGGTCATTCCTGGATGGTGCAGGTGTGTGTCCACCGACTAGTCCAACCCACGGAAGAAAGTCGTGGTGACCTGCTTCCGTAAAGATCAGAACAAGAAAATGTGACAGGCCAAGATCTACCCTGTGATACACTGTGTCGCCAGAAGTCACAATCAAGTCAACAGCAGAGGGTCCAGTTGTGGTTCTGAGCCCTTGGAGCTCTGGTGGCTTAGGGGTAAGGAATCATGCTGCCAACACAAAGATATGT